CCCGGGGTTGGATTGCGGCGCCCCCGCCCCCTTCCCCCCGGGCCGCGCTCCCTCGCCGCTGCGGGCCCCCGGAAAACGGCGCGGCCGGGGGGGGGGGGGGGGGGGGGGGGGGGGGCATTAAAACACAAAACACAAACTCAGAAACAATCAACCAACAGGTCATTTTACTGCGAGAAGCAAAGCAGCTTGGTGCGGGATTCGAACCTTCGGTTGCTACGGCAACAACCAGGCGTTGGACACTGGGACAGTTGTTCGTGTTTATGTTTTGTTGGTGTGTACACTTAAACAAGAGCACGGCACATTTTAATACGCACACCGACAAACTGTCACACTGCAAGAGCTGAACAAGTAAAGACCGATTGTTGACTTTGACCTTGATTTTTGACCTTGGAGCCAGGGTCATGAATAGTGTCTAGTGACGATGCACGTGTGAGTGAAGTTTCATTAAATTATTCTGAGCTGAGCAGAAGTTAGAGCAGAGATTTTGTTTTGGCTTTGACCTTGATTTTTGACCTTAAGCGGTTTAATATTTCTTGAAACCACCGGACAAGAACGACATCATCCAGGCTTTGAGCTTTTCTTTTGTCCTTGAAGCGTCTGGTGCGGTCCAGTTTAGGACTTTGTCTCGTGACTCACCTCCGGTCCAGGTCCGAGGCTGCGGCGTAGTGCAGGGCGGAGCGCCCCCACTGATCCACGGCGTCCACGTCTGTCCCACAGGCCACCAGAGTCTCAAGACACTGATAGTGTCGGCTGGCAGCGGCGTAATGCAGAGGAGTCCTGAGGAACGCAGACCCAACCATCACCATACGCAGAGTTTAAAGACAGGTGAGACAGGTGTCCTCTGTCCAAACGTCCTACCTGCCACATTTGTCCCTGCGGTTGTGTTCTCCTCCACTACTCAGCAGCAGTTTGACGCAGTCCACGTTACTGCGCAGAAACAAGAAATATACCGTTGAAACGAGCTCGTAGTGACTGTCCAGAACCGAAGGCAAACGGGTGATCACGTTGTTTGTCTGTTAGCAAAATATCTCATGACCGATTTTAATGAAATTCTTAGACGGTAATTATTGGGAGCACGTCTTTAACCGTTTGCCTTTCAAAGTCAACCCCATTCAAGATGGCCGCCACAGCTAAGCGACCTCAGTCATCACAGAATGTTCTGAAGTCAGACGTGTTTACAGATAACGAGCTGTGATTTGGTGGTAGTAGCTGAGACTGACCCCCAGCTCGTACTTTGAGCACTAACTGATCTGTTCTTAAAGCTTTGCCATTAACAACCGGAGTCCTCTACGTCTGCCTGTTAGCAAAATATCCAACGAACCACTGGATGGATTTTAATGAAACTCCCAAGAAGAAATGGCTGGATGTAAATTTGCAACTCATTAACTTTGGAGTCAATCTTAAACAAGATGGCCACCACAGCTAATCACTACTAGCCAGCTCAAAAATGGCTCTAAGTCAGTTTTACAGATGAGCTGATATTTGGTGTGGTAGTAGCTGAGAGTCATTAGGGGTGGAGAAAAATGGCCACAGCTCCACCATTTTTGAACATGGGCTGATGTTAGCCTTGAACTCTGGCCTGAAAGGCGACGTGAAGATGAACGACGTCAGCGGAGAAGTAAAGAGTGGGACTAACCCTCCGGCGGCGGCGGCGTGCAGGCACGTCCTCCCCAGGCTGTCCGGGGTGTCGATCTGGAAGCCTGCGGACAGGACCGAGTCGTTACACATTATGCTAAACCTCCGACCTGACGGGGGCAGCGCAGGGAGACGGAGGAGGCCACACAAGACGGCAGCAGACACAGAGGGAGAGGAGGCAGTGAAGACAAGCGTTAGTGCCACCAGGGCCAGGTCATACGTGCACAGAAAAACAAACAGGTGGACAGATATGACTGCGCTGCAGACGTTACACCGACACTTAGACGCTCTGAGTTAACGACTCGTCCAGCAGCTCTCGGGGTGCGCAGGAACAATCACAAGAACAAAACAAGAACAGTGAAAAAGAAGCCCCGCCCTCTTTTACATGTTTTACATGTGTAAAAAATGTGTCCACTTTCAGAATCAGCTGGTTTATTCAGCAGCAGCAGCAGTTGCTGCAGCTCTGGAGCACACAGGTGTGTCGTCAACACAACGCCAGGATGGAAAAACATCAGCAATAACCTCAGAGAAGCAGCTGCTGCTGCCCATCAATCTGGGAAGGGTCAAAGGTCATTTCTGAGTCCTTGACTCTACACAGAGAACGAATATTCACAAGTAAAAACTCTGAAGACAGCTGACTATTTCACCCCGAGGTCAGACCGTGCAATCCTCAGAGAAATTAGCTCCATCTCAGACTCTACAGGCCTCAGGTAGCAGGTTAAAGGTCAAAGGTCATGGCCTCTTCGCTCTACAAACAAACACGGCAGCACAACATCTGACGCAAGGACTTCTGGGACAATGTCTTTTGGATAAATGAGACCAAAGGACAGATGTTTACCCATAATGCATGGCAGCAAATACCATAGTCATCAGCATGGTGGTGGAGGGCTGATGGTTTGGGCTCCCTGAGTGGACCATGAGCTCCTCTGTAGACCAAAGAGTTCTGGAGACAAATGTGAGTCCATCTGTCCGACAGCTGAAACTTGGACCAAACTGGGTCCAACAGCTGATCTACAGCAGAACCAAGGTCCAATCAGAGCTCAGAACCTCAGCCTGGCTGAAGACTGTGGTGGGAGCTCCTGAGCGCTGAGAGAAACCTCAAAGAAGTGAAGCAACGCTGCAAAGAAGAGTGGGCCGAACACTCCTCCACAACCACGAGAGAGACTGATACAGTCCTGCAGAAAACCACTGAGGGTTCTGCTGCTGATGGGCTTGGTTTAGTTTATTGTAATAATAATAACAATAATAATATGATAATAGTAATAATAATAATGATGATGATGATGATGATGATGATGATGATGATATAATAATAGTTGTTATAATAATAATAATTTATAAATAATAATAATAACAACAATAATAATGCTTCTGTACACTTGAGGTTTGGTTTAATTCACTTGAGAGTTTTGTAAGGAACAGATCATTTCATGACTTAAATCTCGAGAACTGATGGAGGGTCGACTCTTCTTCCCTCAAACTGTTCAGGACAAACAAAGGTGTAACGGTCATAATTTGTCTGCGATCCCAGGAACAACAAATTAAATCAATGTCCTAACTGGCGAGGGGTTACCTGAGGACAGCAGCTTCCTGCAGCACTCGGAGTGGGCGTTCAGGGCAGCCAGGTGCAGAGGAAACATGCCGTAGATTCCTCGTCTTCACAGGAAAACGACACAGATCAAACCACAGATTTAAAGCTCTGCACGTCGTCGTCCCCATCGGCACCTGAGCAGGTGCGAGCTCACCTGGTGCTGTCCGCTCCACTCGTGATGAGCGTGTTGATGAGGAGCTCGTGGCCGTAGCGGGCGGCGACGTGCAGCGGCGTGTTGCCGTCCTTGTCCACGCTGTCGATCTCGCCGCCTGAAACGAAACGTGAAGCGTTGAAGACGGCGTGCGGCCGTAAGAGACGCGGAGACGACGGCGGGCACGGTGGAGGCTGACCGTTCTGGATGAGGGTCTGCGAGCGCGTGAATCGTCCGTGAACCGCCGTCATGTGAAGAGGACTCTTCCCGTCTCGACTCTGAAGGCAGGAAGACAATGAGACAAAGACAATGGTTCTTACCTGGACATTTTAGTCACCTTCCTCTAACACTGAGGTAAAAACATGTAGGTCCTCTGTTCACTCGTATGTTAGCTGCTTCGTTTTTATCTTTTGTGATTTTTTTCTGTTTTTATTTCCGTGACCATAAACAGTTTGGAACAAGTCTCCTTTATCCACGATTTTTATTCTGTTCAGAGAATTTCTGCTGTTTTAGAATATGACCGTGAGTTGCCTGTTCCTCTTCAGAGGCTGAACCTCTCAGACGTAAAGACGGGCAGAGGTTCAGCACCCTGTGAAAAACAACGAGAATAACCAGGTTTAACCTCCATCAGCTCCACTTTGTAATCTCATCCACAGATTAGAAGAATCTGTAGAAACCTCTGAGCTCAAAGGACGAGGCTGAAGGTCAATATTGGACGGTCATGAGCTTCTGCATTAAACCAGGCCTGGTTCTGTTCTGGGCTCGGGAACTCTTCCACAGATGCAGATGAAAGCTCTATCAGACAAAGACGACGCCAGATGTGGACACCATCCAGAACCTCTGCTGTCTCCTCTGGACCAGAGCTCGTTTCAAACGGACTGAGGTGAAGTCCAGAACTGATGTGAGGTCAGACGGGTCCAAATCTGAGATTATTTTTAGAAACCATGGACACCACAACAGCTGTTCTAAAGAGTATCCAGCCAGTTGTCAGCCCACAGTTCAAAAACCTGCCTCTCTGATGGTATGGGGGTGCATTAGTGCCGCTGGCATGGGCAGCTTACACATCTGGAAAGGCTCCATCAGCACAGAAAAGCATCTACAGCTTTCAGAACATCTGCTCCCATCCAGACGATGTCTTTCAGGGAAGGCTTTGCACATTTCAGCAAGACAACCACTGCAGGGTCCAGGTGCTGAACTGACCCCTGAGGTCCAGACCTGCCACCAGCTCAAAACATCTGATGCATCGTGAAAGAAAAACATGTATTAATGCAGGCCCCGGACGGCTGAACATCTGGAACCGTCCATCAGACCAGAACGGGACAACGTTCTCCTCCAACAGGTCTCCAGATGTTTACTTTGTCCTGCTGGGGACAAACTGTGGGTTTATGAAGCAGCGAAGCTAAAACCACCGCGTGTCCTCGGAGACTTCCTGTGGACGCACCTGGACGTTCACGTCAGCCCCGTTGTTGACCAGGAACTCCAGACAGAGCGCTCCGTGCGTGGAGGCAGCGGCGAAGTGCAGCGGCGTGAAGCCTTTGTTGTTGGGCTGGCTGACGTTGGCGCCGTAATCGATGAGCTCGCTGACGACGGCGTCCTGCCCGTTGAAGCAGGCCACGTGCAGCGCCGTGTTCCCGAACGCGTTGGGCTCGTCGATCTGAAAGAAATCGACGCGGGTGGTTAGAGGAAGCGGGTGTGTCGTTTTCCGTCTGCGAGAAACACCGACCTCCACCGCCAGGTTGAGGAAATGTTTGACCACGGCGATCTGCCCGCTGGAGGCGGCGGCGTGAAGCGGCGTGTACCCTCGTTTGTCCTTGCAGCTGACCTCCGCACCCTGACCGACCAGCAGACACACCACGTCCAGGTGACCTGCAGCACATGAACGCCTCACTCACTTCCTGTCCCCGGTGACTTATCAGACCTGTCCGGTTTCAGCTGATATGAGTTTTCAGTTTAGCTGTTGTCTGAGCGCTGACTCAGCATGACGTCAGCGCTCTCCGGACTGACTTCAGCGTACGTTGCTGTTTTAACCAGAAAACAGCTCGTTCAGAGCGTTGGTAACATTATTTACACTTTGTCCCTCATAAAGAGATCTACTTCAAATCCCTGAAGTACTTGATTTGAAATCTGCAGCACACTTGACTTGTTTTTAGCTTTTAGCTAATGTTTTACAAGTTTTAGCTACTGGCAGGTTTAAGCTCTGACCGACTGTCTGAAACCTTCAAGATTTAGTTCCTGTTCTAATAGTTTTAGCCTTCGGCTGTTGTTCTAATATTTTCATGTTTCAGCTACTGTACTGATATTTTAGCTTTTACCTACCATTTTGCTAATACTAGCTTTGAGCTAATGTGGGGCGGCTGTGGCTGACTGGTTAGAGCAGTCGTCTTTCAATGCGAGAGTTGGGGGTTCGATTCCACCAGCAGTCACATGTTGAAGTGCCCCTGGGCAAGACGCTGAGCCCCTCATTGCCTCTGATGTGTCCCATCAGTGTCTGAATGTGATAAAGCTCTGATCATTCTTTGTGCAGGTCTAGTATAGAGCTGTATGAATGTGTACATGAGGCACAGATTGTTGTGAAGAGCTTTGAGTGTCTTGATTAAATAGAAAGGAGCTGTATAGGAACAGTCCGGTCCATTTAACGTACATCTTTATGTTACTGTTACACTCATTTCAATTTTTAGCTACTTTTCTTTTTGCTCTTTGAAATATTTAGCATACTTGCTTTAATTTGAGCTTTTAGCTACTGGTTTGCTAACTACTGTTTTGTAATTTTTAGCTATTGGTCTGCTGATTTTAGCTTGTAGCTGCTGTTCTGATGATTTAGTTTTGGCTACTGTTTTGTTCATTTTAGTTTTTAGCTACTGTTTTGATAATTTTAGCTAATGGCTGATTTTAGTGCTTACATATTCTTCTAAATATTCTAGATTTAGTTACTGTTCTAATAATTTAAACTTTTGGCTACTATTTTACTAATTTTAGCTTTAACCCAATGACTGACTTTAGCTTTTAGTTACTGTCGTAATAATTTTACCTTTTAGTTACTGTTCTGCTAATATTAGGTTTTAGTTACTGTTTTAATATTTTAAAGTTTAGTTTACTGCTCATTCTAGCTTTAGCTAATGTTTTGTCAATTCTAAATAATTTTAGCTGATACTTAAGTTCCTTCTTTAATCTGCTGGTTTTGAAAAAGTTCTGAACTAAGTGTTTTTGTGTTTTACCCATGAAAGCGGCCCAATGCAGCGCCCGGCCGTCCTTCTTATCAAAGGCGTTGATGTTTGCTCCTTTGGCCAGCAGAAGATTCACCATCTGAAGGAAGTGAGAAGAGGAGGAAGAGTTAGAGACAGGAAGTGAGAAGAGGAGGAAGAGTTAGAGACAGGAAGTGAGAAGAGGAGGAATAGTTAGAGACGGGAAGTGAGAAGAGGAGGAAGAGTTAGAGACAGGAAGTGAGAAGAAGAGGATAAGATAGAGACAGGAAGTGAGAAGAGGAGGAATAGTTAGAGACAGGAAGTGAGAAGAGGAGGATGCGACAAAAGACAGGAAGTGAGAAGAGGAGGAATAGTTAGAGACAGGAAGTGAGAAGAGGAGGA